GGGGAAAAACAAATCATTTAAATAGGGATACAGGTGGACCCATTGCAACAATGAGATGTACAAGTCGTTATGTCAAAAACGAACTTTACAACTTTTGTGGGGAGGGGCTAGGGAGGATTGGGTGGGGGAGGCGGGAGAAGGATGGTAAAGGGAAACAAAGAAGAAGGCTACAATGCTTGATAAGAAATGTACTCATTATCTTGCCCATGTAATTGTAGCCCCCCCAACAGTATTTTCACAATTAAAAAAATATAACCAATAAAAGAATTCAAAAGCTGAAAAATCTGATCAGAACACTTTTAGTGTAGTAAGAGCTATTGAGGAAAAGCAAGATACAAAAGCCTGCAAGGAAAGGAATTTCAGATTGATGGTTGTCATAGCTGGACTTTGTTCATAATAAAAGAAGCTGGCCGGGCGCTGGTGGCTCACGCTTGTAATCATAGCTACTCAGGAGGCTGAGATCTGAGGATCACGGTTCAAACCAGCCCGGGCAGGAGAGACCGTGAGACTCCTATCTCCAATAAACCACCAGAAAACCGGAAGTGGCGCTGTAGCTTAAGTGGTAGAGCGCTTGCCTTGAGCTGAAGAGCTGAGGGACAGCGCCCAGGCCCAGAGTTCAAGCCCCACGACTGAAAAAAAAAAAAAAAAAAGAAGCTGTTGAAGTTACTAGCAATTTGATGACACATCTAGTCTGCCTGAATTTCTCTCTGAGCTTTCCCTAGTAATCGAAGCTTGCCAACCCAAAGTAACATTTTGTAATTTCAAAAATACTCCAACTATAGAGTTGTGCTAAAAGTTGTATGAACTGATAGCAAGAATCTTTTTTTTTTCTGGCAATTGGCACTTCACAAATGATAATTAGAAGCATATAGAGAAAGAAAGGAAGCGTTGTAACACTTCTTCCATAAATGTAAGACAAGCCTAACTTGCTTCTCTTCTGGTCTGATTTTTTTTTCAATCTATCTTTTCTCACTAGTGTTTTATACTAATATCTTCCAGTAGACTCACATGTATCAGAGGTAGAAGTTGAGCTCTTTGGGTGGCAAAGGAAGAGGTGTCCTGTCAACCTTTTTCTCAAAGTCCCTACTATATATTGGGGGCTCCCCAAATCTTTGCATGAATCACCAGTCACACAGTTCCCCTAAGTTTGAGAAAATTATCTCTTTAAAACTTGAACATAAATTGCTGTTGTGGAGAGTTCCAGCTGTGGAACTCCATTGCTCTTTGGTGGCAAAACTAGACCTGCGCTGACCTGTGAAGCAGAGAGCAGGTGTGAGTAGAGTTCCAGGAGATTCTTCAAGCTCTTCCTTGGTTCCTTTGTTCTTGAAATTTAGTTGCCTCCCTATCTTCTCTACAGACTCCTTGTTTTAGTCTTCTTTCAAATTCCCTTTGGCTAAGAGCTAAGACAAGCTATGCTTCTTTTACTTGCGACCAAATTCCTGTTTACATTATATAATGCTATGCTTATGAGTGTATTTTTTAAAATTGTAACAATGTTTTGGGGTTTTTAAAGTTTATCTTTAAATAGTTGTACAAAAGAGTTTCCATTTAACAAAGCAGTTTATGAATACAGTATATCCTGATCAATGTCTGCCATTTTGTGTGAGATAACACAAAAGTAAACACACAGGGTCTGCACTGTAGTTGAGATAAGGATGTCCTGAGAGAAACCTGGAATGTGGCACAATAATTTCAATGGAAGGACAGTGACTAACAATGCCCCTTTACGCTCAATGATTCCCAAAGCTACTCTGGGGAAAATGTCTGTGAGTCCAAGTGAACTTTCTGTCTGCTGTTAATAATGTACTTCAGTTATTCACTTACCTATTCTTCTGGCCAGGGAGACAGCCTGACCATTCTGTGAAGGAGAAATCAAGGTTTTGGAGATCCAGAGAACTTGAAAATTATTCACAGGATACATCTTATGTGGAGGAACTGGAGAAACACCAGTTTTCAGTTTGGTGAGTGACTATGTTCTGTCTTTTTTTTTTTAAATCAAACTCAAATATATTGAATGCAGCAAGTCTTTACTTGTTCTCTTCTATGATTATTAATCAATTTAACAAAAATGATTGCATGCTTACCATAGACTATAGAGATATGGATATTTAAAACTCCATTATGATTGAGTAATTATGTTTAAAATTGTGGAAAGTTCTGCATGCCTATATAGAGAAGATGATGATCAAATTGAGTATGGAGAAAGGTTCTCTGAAAAGTTCTTTAGACCAGATCTTAGGGAGAATATAACTTGTGAAATAGTGACCAGATGGTATGGACAGAGCCTGGAGACCGAATTGGGAGACTGGCTGGATGTACGCTGCAAACCTCCATTCACTGACATTGAAGTGGATCAGTCAATGTTTTCTCTAAGGTGGTAACTGCTTTAGTATCTGTTTATGAAAATGCATGCATAAAGTGTGTGAAAAGTCTGTAAAGTGGTGAGGAAGGGAGCCTCCCAGAAGAATGAAGGAGTTCACAATGGTGTATGTGTTGTAAGATAAATCATCCCAGAAGCCACATTTTAAAGTATAGAATATTGGAGTCTTTATTATACAGTTAACAGGCTGCAGGCCACAAGTTGTTACAAAGGACTGCAGCATGTAAAAACCCAGCTAGGAAACATGCTAAAGAGGAAAGAAATAACAAGAACAATACCAACAAGCCAATTCAGCTCCAATGGAGAGCTGAATTGGGACTCCATGATGACTGGAGACAAGCCAGGAGACAGGATACAGGACACGATCACGGAGACACACGTGGCATGGAGTCTGGGCTAGGCAGAAGGAGCAGATGCTCAGGAAATTCCCAGTCCCAAGCACTAGATTGACAGATTCAGTAACCTATCAGCCAAGTGCCTGCCCCTGCCTCCAGAGGTCCGGGTACCCATTACCTGGGAGGCAGGTGATGGGGGGTGGTCCTTCCTCCAGCATAAAGACAAAATGCCAGACCCTCTCATCCACTAATATGGCGTTGGCCAGATCTGGCCTCCTTACTTCATATGCACCACAGAAGCACTGTGACAGTGTGACAGAGTATATATATTTGGGAGGGGGGAGTATCAGGAGCGAATCTCATCTGTTTTTACCTGCTGCTTCTCTCTCCATCCAATTAGTCCATTCTCCCGGTCGCTTCCCCATGTGCCCTATTTCTTGATCTTCAAAGTCTTTGCTCACTCCTCCATTCTTGAGCCACCTTTAGAAGCCAGGGGATCAGCCCAGATCTCATTTATTTAGTCATGTGTTTCTTTAACTCCTTCGTCTATATGTAGATGCCCAAGTACATGCCTTCTAGAAGCAGCTGGAGTATGGCACCCAGGACCACCTAGTGAGTAGCTTTCTAGATCAAGCAGGTCATGGCCAATTGTCAGGGAGGAAAAGAGGCTGAAGGGTCCAGAAGATAAGGGGATATTCATGCCTCTTATAGAGAGAAAAAGAAACACAAGAGAGGCTATAGTATGAAATACCAAATGATATGCCCGCTGTTCTTTGAAAACTCTTAAGTTTGTGTTCGTCTCTTAAGGGAGGGGGTGTTATATGTACAACATTAGATTTAATTAATAAAACATTTGCCAGAACTGAGGCTCCAGATACATGCTATTGAAGTGTAGAAGAGATAGTTGGGAGTTTTCTTACGCTCTGTGCTATGTTCTTGATTGAAATTTACCAGAACTAGAGAAAACGCTTCATTAAGTTAAATCCCAGCTCCTAAATTTGCCCAGTGTTCCAGGATTTTTCTGATGACTCAACTCCCTATTGCCATTCAGGACTAACATCTCCAAAGTCCAGAGTATGGAACATACCAATGTCATTATTATTTCCCATGTAGGGTTAACATGCCCAAGGAGCTCAGGGATTCATCTTCAACTGCAACTTTAAGATGGGGTTCCAAGGTCCCAGGTGTGAAAGCTCCCATGATTCTCTAGGTCTTCCACTGTAACCCAATCCTGCTTCCTTTTGTGGTTTTTAATAAAGTGTATCATGTTGTTTTGAATTATCTTTAAGTACTTGTACAGAGGAGTTGCCATTCAACAGAACAGTTTAAGAATACAATGTGTTTTGGTCAACGTTGCCCCTTAAATCATTCTTCTTTTCCCTCCCAAATTCTACCCCTTTCCTTAATTATCTTAGTTTTGTAGGTTATGCATTGGCACATGAAGTTTTATTGGAACTCACTTATGATCATTGTCTTCTAACCTTTCAAGGCAGAAAGGAGTCATTGTTTCAAAGACAGTGCAGCCCACAAAGTCCAGAATGTTCACTCTGTTTGTTTATCAAAAAGCTTACCTATCCATGCACTATACTCTTCTAGATGCTTCTTTGTTATTTTCTCATAGCTACACTTACACTATTTCTCACTGACTGTAAAATTTTTATATATTTGTGGCATATAACATGATGCACTGATATATGTATACATAAACTGAGATGTTTCTAATATATGCTGTACCTTATGTGCGTGTGTGTGTGTGTGTGTGTGTGTGTATTGAGAACAGTGAAAATTTATATTCTTACCAGGTATTGTGGTATGTACCTTTAAAGCCAGCACTTGGGAAGTTGAAATAGGAAGATTAGGAGTTTAAACCTGCCCTGAGTGATGCAGTAAGTTCAAGACCCTAGTGGATTACCTAGTGAAATCCTTTCTAAGAAAGTATGTTTACATTTTTAGCAATTTTCCAAAATGCAATGTATTTCTGTTAATTGCAATTGCTATGTTGCATAGGTAAACCCTTGACCTTTGTCTAATTGAAATTTCATATATTTCCCCCACTTCTACCTCTCTTTGCTTTGCCTCTTACCAACTGGGCCTCTGACCCATTTTGGTAGTCAGTGTTTCATGCAGGAACTCTGTAGGCTAGTGTCGGGCCACAACCGTTTTTATTTGCTTGCAGTTTTGAGGGCTATGAATTCATGAGAAGCTATTTTATTGTGTAAAATAACTTAGCAGGGCCATCCAGCGTGGGAAGACTTCACTTTCTGGTGAAGCAATGGGAAGGTAGTCTCTCACAGACAGCATTGGTAAAGAAGATAACTTGTGGCTATCTTCAGAAGCATAACCTACCACATTTTGTTTTAGTTCCTTCTGTGTATATACTTCCTACCACAGGGCTCAACTAATATTCCTTGAACGAAACATGCAAATGGAAAGAAATGGACAATACCTGGGCCTTGTTGGTAGATCATCGTGGGTGTGAATTCCAGTTCTGCCACTGCTATATAACCTTGGGCAAGGTGTTTGAACCCTCTGAGGCTGTTTGATCTTGTGTCACACGGGAACAACAATTCCTGTACTATGAGATTTGATAGTTATTGTGAAAGTCAGGAGATTGTATACCTAAGATATCCTTCCTGTAGAGAGACTGAAGCATTCAGATTAATAGCAAAGGCAACTATTTTTTTTTTTACTAATATGGACAATAATTTGTCTTAAGGGAATGTGTTTTTCAAAGTTTCAAAGATAAGGATGTCATAGTCTGGGACTCCAAAGGTCCAAATATATTCTCAAGGCTCCATCAATAGTCTGTGATACTTGCCTGTTTGAAGGTGTGGAATCTTGAGGAAGGAAGGAAGTTAGTACACTGAGGGTGTGGCCTAGAAGGGAGTATTGGGATCCTAGCTCTTTCCTCTCTGCTTTATTCCAGCTGTCATGAGGTAAGCAGCTTCTGCCCTGGATGGAGCAGTTCCATTGAGATATACTGTGCCACCACAGCGCCCCCCCCCCAATGGGGCCAAGTGACCAAAAATGGAAACAAAGGGCCCAGATAAAACTTACTTGACTGGAAATGTTTATTTCAGACATTTAGGCACAGTAATGAAAACGGGGCTGTCATCTGGACGTGGGACCCTCTAAGACCATTTCTTATTTTGTATATCTGACTTCTGAGCCACGCTGAGCTCTAGTATCTCAGTGCTGTGAGCAGTACGTGATGGAGATCTCAGTATCACCTTGACCTTCTAAGAGAAGGAAATCCCTTTGTCTGCCTTACTAATTTATTTATTTCTGAACTCTTCCTTCTCTTGAAATAGCTATTATTTTAAAGCATAATATGGAAAAATTAACCACCATACCCATTTCTTTTTAAACCAGAGCTGAGGATATGTGAGTAGCTGAGACCTCTATAAACTTCTGTTTTAAATGGGCCGAGATACAATCTGAACAATTTCCTTGATGTTTTATTAGAGCTAGTAAATCATTTATTGGGGCAGCCTTTACCTAAATTCTCTCCAAATCCCCATAAAATGCATTTAACACAGAATACTGTACTACCCAACTTCAAAGACATGCATGACATCCAGTGGGAAGTATTTGCTCCAGTGCAGCAAGTTTAAATGTATGTGTTCTTCCTCTGACTTGAGTGTCCTATCTCGTGTCCGAGCCCTTTCCCCTTCGAATGCCAATGCCTCATTTAAACCTGCTGATTTGGGTAAATTTGGCAATCATTAAAACTTCAATAAAGCAGCCTTCCCTTCCCATTTTTAAAAATCTAAGGATACTTCAGTCATTCAAATGCAAGTTGGTTTCATTTAAAGCTACCAGTGATTTAAAAATAATGCTTTCAAATGTAATTGCAAGACTGATAAATTTTTTTTCCCCTCAACCAAGAAGATACCCAGCTATGTTGCCTCTCAGTGTGTAGAAGAGACTGTTGTGGCTATGTTGGTCAGCAGGGTTGTAAAGACCTGGACAACAATCCTCTGGCTCTGTCTTAGAAGCATGCAAGACTTCCATTCACACTGTTTACACTTTTGTCCCCTTAGGATATATGCCACTGTGGTGGTTTATGCATCTCTCTGTGTATTTTAGATAAAATTAGATCTTCAAGGTATCCCTCCATACTTTTGCAAATTGAAAGTGCTTAATAAATATGAGGGTATAATAGGAACATTGGTACCAGGTACCTTTGTAATCCTAGCTAATTGAGAGGCTGAGATCTGGAGGAATACACTTTGAAGTTAGCCCTTGCAGGAAAGTCCAAAAGAAAGAGTTCAGACATATGGATCAAATGCTTAAAAGCTAGCCACCAGCTGAGTAAATAAGCCATACAAGCATGTGTTCGTGAGTTCAAACCTCCGGACAAAAAGAAAAAATTTCTATAAGAAGAAATTTCTATAAGAAAAACAAATGGAGCAAAACTTGAAGCTGATTATCTAAATATATGAGCCAACTTATCTGGTAGCTAGTGTGTCTTCCTGATGAGTGTATTTGTTCCCAAGAGTTCATTTTTTATATTACACTTTTTTGAAACACAAATTCCCTCTCCTCCCAAGAACCTGGGCTAGAATCATTTCATGTTCATGCTCCCTGTGATAACTCTTTTACGGACCACGGGCTCTTTAACCCTTCTTGTTTACATTTATATTTTATACACCAAGAGATACAAGAATCTCATCACTATGCTCTGTAGGTGACATATGTATAATAGGAATAAGGAAACACATACAGGGATGAGTCATGAAAACTAAATGGATGAAATTACATGCATACACAAGAACACACATAGCTGCCCAACGAATCTGCTTTTTTGCCTTCTGTGATTTCAGGTCCATGCAGGAAAACAACAAATGGAAAGATCCAGAAATAGCCAACTCATAAGTTTGAAGTTGTTCTGAGTAGCCTGATGAAAGCTTGTAACATACATCTCTGTCCAGTCAGGAATAGAGAATCATTCCTCAGTTTAGTTCATCTACACTGTAGTGAACTATTTATTCACTTAGCCATCTCTATGATCAGAATAATTGGGGCAGGGACACAGTGCATATGTTCATGAATCCATTTACTTCCTTTCATCCCCTTGGAACTGTAGCATCTCAGGACATAACAAAAAGGCTAAGACAACAGTATAATGAGATATTTGATATATGTTTACTTCAGTATATTGCTATAAATGTTTTATTATTTATCATCTATCTATCTATCTATCTATCTATCTATCTATCTGTCTGTCTGTCTGTCTGTCTGTCTGTCTGTCTGTCTGTCTGTCTGTCCGTCCGTCCATCCGTCCGTCCGTCTGTCTGTCTCTCTGTCTG